TATAATCTTTAATATAACAATTTAATAATTAGTAATATTTTGTAAGTTTAAATTTGCTTAAATAATTCAATTATAATTTACAATATACTTCATTTTAACTATTCAATAAAAAGTTTATTCTTTATTCTGGAATAATTTATCATAATTGATGTACAATTTCAATATTTGTTTAATAATAAAGAAATCACTTTTAAAGAAGTGATTATTGGAGGATAAGTATAACAATTAATAATATAATAATGACTATCTTATTTAATCAATAATTCAATTTAAGAATATTTAAAAATATGATTTTATATTATTAAAATTATTTGTATTATAAAATTATGATATTAAAGAATGGAAAATATTTAATTTACCAATAATTTTTATTAATTTAGATATAAAGATGAAAATCTTCAAGTATAAATATCTTAATTATGAAAATGAAGAAATAATTGGATTTTGCTTGAATCAGAATTTTTAAAATACATCTTATAAATTAAGGAAATAATTAAAAGAATCTCTAAATAACTTTAGAAAATATTTAAAAAGTAGAAAGTATTGTAAAAGAAGATATAAGTGTTTTATTATTAATTAGGTAAATAATTAGAAAATTTACAGAAATAATAAGAAGCTATTGAGTGTTACGATAAAGTTATTTCTATTAATCCTAAAGATGAATAGGCATGGATTAATAAAGGTAATTATATTATAATTTAAGTATCACATTAATCTTGTTTACAAAATTAACTGTTTTTATATTATATAAAAAAATTGAAATATGCTATTTTTTGTTATGACTAAGCACTACATCTATACATCAGTCCCTTAAAATTAAGACTTATGGTTAATCTTAATATAAATTTAGCTGATTCATTATTAAAATTAGGGGATAAAAATAAAGCTAAACAATTTTATTTCTCTGCACTAGAAAAAGGATCAAAAGAGAAAGATTTTATACAGAAATAGCTTAAAATTATCATATCATAAATTTCCCATTATTTAATCAAATAATTTAATTTATTAGAATTCTTATATATTTAAAATTTTTGAAAATTTTAACTTTAACAAAATGAAATCGAATAATTTACAATTGAGAAAAACATTGTAAAATGATAAAAACTCTTTTAATTCGAAAAAATTGGTTATTTATAAAGATATTTATATATAACGTTTCTCTTTTTTAGTTCTAAATTTTATTAGAATAGATGATTTAGATAAAAAAAAACAAATATTACTTACAATAATTATGTTTTTGAGTACTATTTGAAAGATTTTGTTATATATTAAAATATATTCAAAATTTAATAAATATATATATATTTATAATTTTCAAACTTTCTAGACTACATAAATTTGATTGGATTATTAGAAATTATGAAGTATTAATATAATTTCAGTGAGAGTTATTCATCCATTTAGCATTTTATTTCTCTAAGTAAATTATTCTATTTGAATCTTACATGAAATGATAAAATATTTTTTGCTAACCTTTCAAGTTAAATGTGAGATTTCTTATGGTAAAGAAAATAAGTTTAATTTTGAAAAATAACTAGTCTAAAATGCTTTCTATCCTACAGATATAGTTGCATATTATTCCCCAACTATGCTTATATATAAATCTTTTTATTTTGAAATCTCTAAGAAAAAGTTTTTGGATTATACTAGTCATGGAAAAAACTTTTGATTATCTCTTTTGATTCTGGGGCGTTTTTGTCTCTGCCTTTACTGATGGCCAAAAAACTCGTTAAGACTTATTATTTTATTTTATGTATTTTAGGGTTTTTTTTCATGTTGAATTTGAATTTAAGTCAGATCGAATCTAAAAAATTAAGCAAATCTAAGATTTCTCAAAGGTGAATCAATTATGGCATCCATATGATCCTAAAAAAATAAGATGTATTTTTTGAGGTATTATAAAATGCATAAATATGATTAGCAGTTTCTATTTGGCTATTTATAAAATTTAGAGGAATTCACTTTTTCTATCATTCCTCAAACATAATTTACTTGCAAGCTAAGCTTAGGATTTCAAAATTAAAAATGGCTGAGCAGATTTAGTATAATTATTACTTAATTATATTTATAACTAAAACTACATTAATACTATACCTTTTAAAAATCAAATTTAAGAGATATTGCAAGTCTAAATTGTGCAGTATCAATTGTTATAATATAAGACTTTAGAAATTAGTTCTCTTTTGAAAATATGCACTATAAATTAATCATAGATCAAGTCTAACTTAATACTATTAAAATAGTAGTTAAAAGAGTTTATTAGAATGATGATATTTATAAAATGAACATAGTAATAAATATTTATAATAATTTGATAGAAACCCACTTATATCAGTTTTAGGTAGTTTGATAATTATATTATTTATCTATTTTGTAAATTTAAAAATTTATTATATTAAGATAAATTTTTTCATTTTTTTCTAAATTTTCAATTACTTAAAAATGAAATAATTTACAAAATAACGGATATCTTTAATAAAATTTTCAAATTCATTGTCAATATAAATATGATACAGAAATAAATTAATATCACATTTATGGGTCCTGCTACAAAATTTTAAAGCTCCTAGCTTTTTTTATTCAATTTAAATAATAATTGAGAGTTTTTAAATTATGAAGGCATAGATTTAAAACCATTATTAAAATCTAAAGGAAGTTATATTGAGTACTGAAATTTGATTATTTTAAGAGCATCACAATTATGTATAATTACAAGCAATTTCCTATTTTTTGTTTTTTGATTTTTTAACAAGTCTTCTCATGGTTTATTAAGTCTAAGAGAAAATTGATTGTTGAAAAAAGTTACACATTTTTATATTTTAAAATCTGATTCATCATAAATCTCTATATTTAAATTATTTAATCTATCATTCTTTGCTAATGTCAACTTACAAGAAAGTAATAAAGGAAAACCCTAATTACTTATTGAAAATATTCGTTTTTATATTAAGCAGTCCTATAGATAACTTTTTAAGTTTATAACTAACTGGGTCTAAGGAGAACTTTTTTAATAATTTAGGCTTTTATAAAAGTCAGGAGAATATTCCTGATTCCATTCTAGAACCGTCAATCACTAGAACCTTGTTAGATAGTGTAGACATTCTTGGATACAGGAAGTAAAAAACTTTCTCATAAAATAAGTATTTCTATAGAGCTTTTAGATTATAAAATTAAGCAAAAACTAATTTTCTATGTCTATTATGAAATTCTCAGAATTTGAATTTTTTTCGCTCATTTAAAAATGTTTTATAACCATTTATATTAACTAAAGAATGCAATGAAATGATTTTGAACTAATAAAGGCTTGCTAATACATTTTTGTTTATAATTTAACGATTAAGCTATTAATTCAAATGCCATATTGAATTCTCTCTTTCTTTTCGATAATGAATAAAAATGAAAGTACACTAATCTGAAATTCGCTAAAAATTAAGGTTAGGCTTTCTACATTCAAGTACCTTACTTTACTTGAAAAAATAAAATTATAAAAAAAGGTTTAAGAAAATTACAAAACTTGTGGGCCATACAAAAAATAAAAATAAATATATTTATTTCTAAAAATTAAGATTGCCTAACCTTTTTCGAGGTTTGAAAGGTTTGTATGCTTAAAAACTAAGATTAGTTTTGAGATTGATACTTCTAGCATTAATTAATAAAAATTAGAAATAATGATAATTTATATTTGATTGTTTATTAGATTCTAGATTATTTAGTGAATAGATATTAATTAAAAATTTTAATTAATTTCTTTAACATTGTCTTGGATAGATATTCTAGAACATTTACCATCAAAGTTCGAAGTCAAATATTAATATTTTTAAAAGCTCTTGTAGTAAAATTATTTGTGAAAATCTCAATAAATAAAATAAAATTTGGCAATGGGCTTTAAAAGAGATCAATTTTTATAATAAGGTAGGGTATTCTTCAAGTTGGTTTAAGATTTACATATAAAAGTGTAATTATAGAAATTAATTAGAAATTGAGCAGCTCATGGTTCTAAAATAATGAAAAAGGCAAAACTACAGATTAAATTGATCATAATTTAGAAGGATTTTGCTATTTAAATTAATTAAAGAGAGGATGAAAATTCTTTGACATAATACTTAACAATTGACAAAATTTTATTAAGATAAAAAATACTTATTATTTCTTACTTTTTATGCACCATGGGTTTTGAATATAACATATGTTCAAGTAATCAATTTTACATGATATTTTGGAATGCTCATTGATTGATTCTGCATATTAGTGTGTTGTTAATTATTTTAATATCTTATAAATTTATTAATATTTCAACTATACAAGCTTTACATCTGATTTGGCAAACTTTGTCAGTTTTCAAAGAATACAATTTTTTTTTGCCATCAATTGCCATGATGAATTTTAATCCATCTATTTTTTAATGTATCTTCCTATATCTTTACCATTTTAAATGATTCATAAATTTCCTTCAGATCAGAAATATATTACTTATGGTGAATTTCAAGATTTAAATAAATAGAATTCAACTGAAGTTATAAACTTGTGTAAACTATTTTGAAAAATGTTTAAGGTGTAATAAGTAACTTAACTCTAATTGAAATTCTTTTATCTGATTAATATAATTACAAAATTGTTTATTTTGATAGTGGAATACAATTGTAATGCTAAAAATGTAATTTTTAATGTAAACCCTATTAAATTGATGCTAATAATAGTCAGATTTGCTAGAATTTAAGTAGAATTTATACAAAAATATATAATACATGAATGGATTTTATGAAAATGAGTATCAATAAATTAATAATTAAACTTTCATAATAATTTATTTGTCTAATGTAAGCAGTGTTTCCAAGTGCAATACATTCATATTGAACCTTCAAAGATTTGACTTTTAAACCTGAAAGAATTGAAAAGGATTATACTTTATTGATATACTGGATATGCATTATGTTAATGTCTAACATTATTTAAGTTAATTAGAATGTACATTTTAATGTGCTACTTATAACTTAGACACTTTTAATTGCAAAATTTGTATAGACACGAATTAGCTTATAACTTTAAAAAGTTAAAAATTTCAAGTGCTCTTATTCAATTGTTAATTTTATTATTTTGATGATCTAATGATTGATAAAAAATGTGATAGTACCTGTTTAGAATAAAATATCATTAGATGCTTATCTTGCTTTGCAAAACATTTTAAAATGAAATATGGATGGCATTCTTCTAAAAAAATAATTTTGATATAATGATAAACCTTGAGGGTCAAGTAATTTAATTCAATAGTTTCAGCTTTGTCAAATTGCATTAATAATTGTAAATTTCTTAGATGATCTTAGATAGAGTATTTTCCATTTGATATTTCTTTAAATTTGTTGCCCTTAATTTGTATATCAGAATTATTTGAATAAACTAAAATTAACAATTAATTTTTGTATCATTAATATAATTATTTGAATGAATAAATTTATAAGGGTTTGGTCAAAATTCTCAATTTTACCTTATCCAGAGAAAGCTGTAAAAAAACTAAAAAAAAACTAGCATATATTATTTAACTAGGATATTAATTATATTAAAGACTATAATTGGGTTATGCAATCCTATTAAAAATTATAAGAACTTATAAAATAATTTGAAATTAATAATTATGCCTTATCACATAATAATTATGAAACTTATTTATAATTTTTATCTTTGCATCCACTTTCTTCAAAAATTGATAATCATGTAATTAATTTTTAGAGGAAATTCATTTATATAAGTATAAAATTTTACTATTATAAGAAAAATCTGTATATTTAAATAATCCAATCAAAATTTGATTCAACATTACTTTTACCTAATAGTTTTAGATTAAAATTTAAGATATAAAATGAAAATTTCAACTAGATTTATTGTTTTTCAGAATAATAATATCAAAGCATGTAGGAAATTCCAGAATTTAATATAGATCTTATCCTTACTATTTTATTTATGAGAAAATTAAGATTGGTGTTTTATCTCAATTTAGATTAATCAATTAGAAAATACATAAATCTAGATTTAACTTTTCTATTTAGATAATATGATAAAAAAAAAATTTCTTTTTTTTTTTCTAATTAGATAGACAACATTAATAATCAACTTGCTCTAAATTAAACAATCAGTTGGCCTAATCTCTCTCCAATGATCCAGATAACTTTTCCAAATATAAATTTAAAGTAAATAGTTAACTTTTTACTCTTTATTCACATTTTTATCGATTGCAAGAAATTTTATATATAATAATACATATTATTCAAAGATTCATAATTAAAAAGTAATAGAAATTAAATTTTCATTTGATTATATATAATTTTTAAGAAAGTTATGGTAATAGAATTATAATAAATAAAATATCTTTTCTAAATTTCTCATGAATTAACTTGAAATTAGTGATGAAGGAGTTGCAGAACAAATTGTAGAATTATGTGAGCAAATCAATGAAGGGATCTGGAATAATGAATCTGAAATTTTAGAGATGTTTAAAGAAATATTTGAAAATTTGAATGAGTAAAAGTAAAAAACTGCTCTTGTTTACATAAAGACTAATTAATCAACCTAAATATATGTTAAGAAACTTGAATTGTAATTCTTAAATACAGAAATTCATTAACCCTTAATAGAAGAGGTAATTGATTATAAAAATATATATAAATAAATAACTCATCAACATACAGATTGGTAATAATTAATAAATCTTTTAAAATAAAAAGAATTCTGTGAATAAAATAATATTAATCCTGTAATTATAAATAATTTTGAAATTCTATAAAAACTTAAAGTAAAATTATTCAGCCTATTAAAAATAAGTGAACTAACATAAATTAAAGAATTTGGATATCCTTATTTGAATATGATTAAAGTTTTATTAGGATTTATTGAAAAGGATAATGATCTAGATGAATCAGAGGCAAAAAAATTAGAAATGATTATTGGAGCTTTATTAGAAAAATAAATAATGTAATTTTTAGAATATGAAGATAATTTATTTTAATCTTAAAACTCTGAAATGATCAAAAAAATGATCTTTGCTATATAACAAGAAGGAAAAAAATATTAAGATTTTTCAACTGAATTATGTTCTCTCACCTTTGATTAAAAAATGTTTATTAAGATATGTACTATTCAAACAAAGGAAAAAGCATTAGAAAATATCAGAAAATAAATTTCATTGTTATTTTATTGTGAGAACTTAAAATGGGAATAAAAATTGGAGATGAAAAATATAGATTAAAATATTCTTAAGTATCATGGATTTGAAAGTTTATACTTTAGCATAATTTTCTACTTTTGGCAGTAATACTGTTATCAAAAATATGGTGAATTGAATCAATTTCAAATTAATTTAAAAAAATTGACTAAAATTGAATAAAAATCTAAATTAATAAAGGGTTTTATTTCTAAAGCAAAATAAAATAGTTAAGATTAAATTTATCTGTTTATGATCCATCATTCAATACAATTTTCATCTGAAAAAAAAGAATATATTATTGATGAAGAAAAAATATAAAACTATTATGAATTTTAGCAAAATAATTATAATTAAATTTGTACTGTATTTGAATGCAGAATAGAAAATTTTTTATAAACTGATTTATATTGTTAATTAAACAATTTAAGATTTATACCTTTATTTAATTTGAAAAAGATAATCCAATAAAGTAAATAAAATTAATATGTTGATCAAATTCAAACCAAACAATAAATTGATATAAATTTAGATAATGATATTACTTAAATACAGCAAAATCAATCAATAAAACAATGTTCATAAGATATTATCAATCAATGTATTGAGACAAATTTAACAGAATAACAAGTTTGTATTATTTCACTGTTATTTTAAAATCCTTAAAGAGAATTTTATAATTAAACGATCAAAGATTTAGTATTAAAATTTATATTTCAGCAAAGTGATGACATTCATACATACATAAATGAATTAATAAATTAAGAATAACATTTATCATTTGGAGAGGTTGTATTATTATTAGAATTGTTGAGTCCAAAATTTGAAAAAAATATAATAAGTATCATAAAACTCTATAAACTAAATTAATCCTTAAAACTTATTAGGGTAGTATTTTGCTTAATTTAATTTTTTACAGTTAATTAATAATTAGTAGGAAAGCAAGAAGAATTATAAATAAAAGAATCATTATAATTATCAGTAGAATTAACCAAGTAGTTATTGTAATTAAATGAAAAAGAGTTACTTTCACTTAAAATTCTGTTTGGAAAGAAAAAATTCTAAATACTTTTAGTGGCTGTAGTCAATTAATATTTAATTTCAGACATTAAAGCTAAGACTTATTACATGAAAATTCTAAAAATATTAGTCCCAATGTGTCCAGGAAAATATCATGTTTCAATTTAAACATTCAGAATCTTATTTTTAAGTATAAGACCTGGGTTATTGAATTACTTATTCTCATTAAGTAAAAAGCAAAACATTACACAAGATGATTTTAAAAAAACCTTAATAATAATTTTTACAATTATGGTAAATAAGAATCAATAGACCTCAAAATTTATACTGTCTAACCTACATTATTTCTTTACTCAGTCTTGTTATGATTTCGATTAGATTTGGAGAACTAGACAAATGTAAGTTATGGATAAGCATAATTTTAAGTTTAACCTAATTAAATTCTTAAATTCCAGATACATGATCAAAAGTTTGGTGGAAGAATGCTTTTCTCTATTTAAGGAGAATCCTCAATTTTATAAGGAATAGCTTGGAAAAGTAAATTATTTTAAAAATATCTAAATACATTCTGTTTATTTTCTCCAAAAAAATATAATTGATTAATGCCCATCAGATGGTTGCTTTTCACTTGAAGATTTCAATATCTCATTAACTGAAACATCATCCCAATAAGAGAAGAAAATTGTGTAGGATTGGATGGATAATATAAAGGATACATAAAAATTTAAATAACTAATTCCGTTTTTTTTTAACATTATTAAGAGAGGGGAGTCATCAAAAAAGTTATTGTCAATAATCACAACATTCAAAAACTAAAATAAAGAGTCTATAAAAATTATCAGCAATATGAAAGCATTGTTTTAATTATTTTATAACAATTCTAATGATGAACTTAAGGTTATGTTACTTAAACTCTACCAAAATATGTATCCTGTCCCTTTAATTTTTCAAAATCCATCTTTATAAACTGCTAAAGAAGAAATTGATTTATATGGATTTAATGAGAAACTGTATTATGTATTTTAAACATCTTTTCCTATCATTAATTTTTCCTTAAGCTAAAAGTAAGCTTAAATAGGGAAGACAGAGTTAATAAATTAATTGTTTTACTAGTAGGATAAATTTGAGACATAGGATACTTGCCAATTAAATAACAATACTATTGATATAATGTTTGATACATAATTTAATGGATCAAGAAATTTTAGTGTTGCTGATGCTCATGGCTAATTTCCAATAGAATTATTAGTTAAAATTTTGCCATTATTCCGAATGTGGATTCTACAATTTGATTCAGAATATGAACTTATTGAAAATTATAGAAAGTTATAGGAAATCAAGAAAAGCCTGCCTAAACAAAATTCTACAATATGTTTTATTATAAGAAATTACAAAGGAGAGTTAGAAGAGAATATTATTAATGAAGAATTAAAGAAAAATTTAGAGCAGTTGAAAAAAGAAGGAATAAAAGTACATAAAATAATTGATTTGGCTTAGAAAGGTTTGGATAAATCTTTAAAAGAGTAAGAATTGTAACTTGCCTAATCTTTTATTTTCAATGAGATCACTAAAGTAAATTAACAATAATCACTAGTCACTAATTAAGATTTTTTAGGAATAATATAAAAATTTGATTCAAAAGAAAAAAAAGTATCTCATTAATTTTTATAAGACAGGTTTATCATTAAAGATTTAGAAAATGAACTAAATAGATTGGTTTAAAAACCTATGGGATTTTATGATTAAGAAGCTTTTCCAATTAGATCCATAGAATACCAATTAAAGATTTTAAAAGAAAGAGAAATCTAATTGATTCAATAAAAAAATAATACAAGTTAAATTTAAACAAACAACTAAAAGGAGTTTGACAAAAATCAAGATAACAAAGAATATGAAGAAACAAAGTAATAAATAATCAAATTAGAAGATTCAATTAAGAACGCTGAATTATCAAACCTTTTAAATATGTTTTGTAAAATATTTGACTAAAGCTCATACTATATTTTATATTTATAATTTACAGATTAAGTTAGAAAATTTAATGAACGTAACACTTATGAATTGTAGGAAAAAAATCAAATTATTAATGAAAAATTGATGAAACTTAAAAAAGACAGGGATTAAATAAAGCTTAAAAAGAATGAAACTAATAAAGAATCTTCATCAATAATAAATTATGATGGAAAAAATAAAATATATAAAAAATAACAAGATGAACTAAAGCAGGAACTAAAATAAAATTTGGAAAATATAGCATTCAGAAATATTGGGATAGAAATGTTTTGGAGAGAGCTTATTGCAATCAATTAAAGAAGTTTGGCTCCTATATAAATTGATCCAGCAGATAAGGTATATGAAATGATTAAAAAAGGGGAACCTTTTGAATTTCTAGACGGAGATTCTCTTTAGATAAATGCAAAATTTTTGGATGAACTTAAAAATAAATTCACAAATTTGGGAAAAGAGAAGGTTTTAGTATTAAGTGTTTTAGGACCTTAAAGTTCAGGAAAATCTACTATTTTAAATAAAATATTTGGATGCCATTTTTGGACAAGTGTTGGTAGATGTACAAAAGGTATTTATTTAAATTTGTTGAAAATCTAATTTAAAGAATACTTTAATAATTTATTTGATTATATATTAATACTTGATTCAGAAGGATTATAGAATCCAAATCAGATTGATCCTGAGTTTGATAAAAAAATTGCTCTTTTTGTCTTGGCAATAAGTGATATCATTTTGATAAATGTTAAAGGAGATATACATCAACAATTTAAAAATTTGGTTGAAATGTGCATTTTTACTTTAGTATCTATGAAATCTAATCTCTCTTCTATAAAGTAATTAAGTTGGTGTTTTAATTAAAATAACGATGCTAACAATTTTGCTCCATTTTTAAACTAAATACAAGGAATTGCCAATAGTTTAAATTTAGAATANCTAATTGATTCAATAAAAAAATAATACAAGTTAAAATTCATTATTTACAACAAAAAACTAAAAGGAGATTGAAAAAAATCAAGATAATGAAGAATATTAAGAAACAAAGAAATAAATAATCAAATTAGAAGATTCAATTAAGATCTCTTAATTATCAAACCTTTTAAAGATGTTTTGTAAGATCTTTGACTAAAGCTCATACTATATTTTATATTTATAATTCACAGATTAAGTTAGAAAATTTAATGAACGTAACACCTATGAATTGTAGGAAAAAAATCAAATTATTAATGAAAAATTGATGAAACTTAAAAAAGACAGAGATTAAATAAAGCTTAAAAAGAATGAAATTAATTAAGAAGCTTCATCAATAATAAATTATGATGGAAAAAATAATATATATAAAAAATAACAAGATGAACTAAAACAGGAACTAAAATAAAATTTGGAAAATATAGCATTCAGAAATATTGGGATAGAAATGTTTTGGAGGGAAATGATTGAAATTAATTAAAGAAGTTTGGCTAATATATAAATTGATCCAGCAGATATAGTATATGAAATGATTAAAAAAGGGGAACCTTTTGAATTTCTAGGCGGAGATTCTCTTTAGATAAATTCAAAATTTTTGGATGAACTTAAAAATAAATTCACAAATTTGGGAAAAGAGAAGGTTTTAGTATTAAGTGTTTTAGGACCTTAAAGTTCAGGAAAATCTACTATTTTAAATAAAATATTTGGATGTCATTTTTAGACAAGTGTTGATAGATGTACAAAAGGTATCTATTTAAATTTATTGAAAATCTAATTTAAAGAATATTTTAATAATTTATTTGATTATATATTGATACTTGATTCGGAGGGATTACAGAATCAAAATTAGATTGATCATGAGTTTGATAAAAAAATTGCTCTTTTTGTCTTGGCAATAAGTGATATCATTTTGATAAATGTTAAAGGAGATATACATCAACAATTTAAAAATAATGTTTGGAGGAAGAATGCTTTTCTTTATTTAAGGAAAATCCTCAATTTTTTAAGGAAAACCTGGGAAAAGAAAATTATTTTTAATATATCTAAATACATTCTGTTTTTTTACTCCAAAAAAAAATAATTGATTAATGCCCATCAGATGGTTGCTTTTCACTTGAAGATTTCAATATCTCATTAACTGAAACATCATCCCAATAAGAGAAGAAAATTGTGTAGGATTGGATGGATAATATAAAAGATACAGAAAAATTTAAATAACTAATTCCGTTTTTTTTTAACATTATTAAGAGAGGGGAGTCATCAAAAAAGTTATTGTCAATAATCACAACATTCAAAAATCAAAATAGAGAGTCTATAAAAATTATCAGCAATATGAAAGCATTGTTTTAATTATTTTATAACAATTCTAATGATGAACTTAAGGTTATGCTGCTTAAACTTTACCAAAATATGTATCCTGTCCCTTTGATTTTTCAAAATCCATCTTTATAAACTGCTAAAGAAGAAATAGATTTATATGGATTCAATGAGAAACTGCATTATGTATTTCAAACTTCTTTTCCTATCATTAATTTTTCCTTAAGCTAAAAGTAAGCTTAAATAGGGAAGACAGAGTTAATAAATTAATTGTTTTATTAGTAAGATAAATTTGAGACATAGGATACTTGCCTATTAAACAACAATACTATTGATATAATGTTTGATACATAATTTAATGGATCAAGAAATTTTAGTGTTGCTGATGCTCATGGCTATTTTCCAATAGAATTATTAGTTAAAATTTTGCCATTATTCCGAATGTGGATTCTACAATTTGATTCAGAATATGAACTTATTGAAAATTATAGAAAGTTATAGGAAATCAAGAAAATCCTTCCTAAACTAAATTCTACAATATGTTTTATTATAAGAAATTACAAAGGAGAGTTAGAAGAGAATATTATTAATGAAGAATTTAA